AGAAGGACCCTGTGAAGTAGTTCACATTTATAGAGAGGGAAACTGGAGCTCAGATCCAGCAAGGACAAGAGGTGGAGGTGAGTTTCTCTCCAGGTGAGGTGGTCTCGGAAGTGGAACTCCCGGCCCCCCCGACACATTGTTGTATTACTATTACTATTATTATTACTATTACTACTGACAGACTAACCTCCAGAGGAAGACAATGTGACTTGTTTAATGAAGGGTCTTAACAGCCCAACTGCCCTGTGATTTGTTTGATTAAAGTGCTTGCATCTCCATGACCTCTGTGTGTCCCACCCCCTTGTGCAAAATGACCTGTGCACTTTAGAGGCTCATAAATACAACCTGCTACACAGGATCAGGCTTGGGAGAGAATGAAGTTTTAGCTTTTCAGTAAGCAGCCTCTTCTTCCCGTTCACTCATTAAAAAAAGACATTTCAGATATGAATGTCCCAATATAAAAATAAACATATCAAATGCAGAAAACTCAGAACCTGTAAAGAAGGAAAAAATAACTGAGGGTCCTCCTCTCACCCAAAGGTATCTTTTTGTCTTATTTTCTTCCACTCTCCTATGCAGACATTTGAGTAATTATTTTTTACCTGAGACTCTTCTTCTTGAACGTTTATCTTTTTTACAATAAAAAATAGCACATTTGCACATTGGAGATGGGAAAAGAACTGAAAAATAATTCAAGTTCCTCACAGTATCAGCACCAAGCTAATGGTTGTGAATATTTTGACTTGAAGTCGCCACATCTCATTCTCAAGAGCCCTAATCGCACAGGGGTTTGTTCAGTCATTTTAACCAGACATTGAGTAGGGAAAGTGCAGCATTCTTGACTTATTCTTAATGGCTGCATGATATTCCATGGTGTGACTGAACCGAAAATCACGTAGCCAGCTCCCCTTTGTCCGGCCCATTGCTTGTTCTCATCAGTTGCATGATAAGTACCAGCTATCGCCGTAGATGAGGGATTCCCTGGTCACTGGGTCAAGGGCAGAGGTCATCCAGAGGTCCTCAGGACTCGGCCACCTGAGTTTCGCCAGCCTTCCACTGTGGTTCTCTGTGGTGTACGTCTGAGCTGCCTGTGAACCTGAGAGAAACCAGAGCCTCAGATTCAGCTGGAGGAGTAGGCTCCCAGCAAAGGAGTGACTTTGCGGGTGCCTCTCCCAGGACTCCTGCAACCTTTCTCGACTATGGCCTTGTGGGTTTGCCTGTGGGCAGCTATGCAAGGATGGAAGGCACAGAAGTAGAGCAGGAAGATGTCACAAATCAATCTGTGTGCACGAGAAACATGGCAATGGTTCAGAGGGAGCAAAAATGGAAACAAGCGACAAAACATAAGCCTCTCCCCACATCCACACCCAGATCTCCTCTCCCTTCTCAGAGACAATCACTGCCCACAGTTTCTTATGTATTGTTCTAGAATAAGTAACTATAAATAAGTAAGTACAAACTAAATAAGTAAGTATAAGCTTACACAGAAGCCTCTGCCTACCTACAGAATCATCCTTCTATCTACCTCCTAGTCACTTGTCCAAATAATCTGTTTTCTATACGTGTGGCTATTTTTCCATCCATCCATCCATCCACCCATCCGTCCATCCATCCATCCATCCACTCATTGATCCACCCACCTAAAACTTAGGAGTCTTTAAATGCATGGTTATCACAAAGACAGCAGTTTAGAGGGGACTTTGGGAGGTAGGACCCTGGCTCCTGTGCAGCCAACAGTCCACTTGGTAACTTGGGTCAAGTCACCCTTGCTCCCTGCTCTGATCTGCGAGCAGGAAAGACAAGTGCCCAGCTTTGCACTCGGGTGAGGAAAGCAAGGCAAAAGGACAGGGAGGGAAGGAGGGTGAGGGGCGCCTGCGGCTGCCGGAAGGGGACTGGGCGATCCTTTGCCAACATTACCTCACATGTTTGCGGGGAGATAAGGTGTTTGCTAAACTTTGTGGGCGCAGTGGGGCCAGGGCGCACCTTCCCCATGATCGTCCCCAGGACGGCAGCTGCCTGCTCAGACTGGCTGTGGGGGCCTCCAGCCCCGCTTGCCCAAAATACAGGAGGCTGCAAGTGGAGCTGATTCTATTTAGTGTAAATAGAGGAGGCGAACGCTTTCAGGGATGAAGGGCAAAGAGGTCACTCCAAGAGAGGGACGGCAGCCTCCCTGGGTCACCGGCCTGTGGCTCTGAGCGCCCTGCACGTGGACGGTTTGCCATGTGGGACTCAGCCTGTTCCTGCGGCTCCAGCTCACTGTGGGGGCCTCTCTGGAGTTGGGTCTGGAGCTTACATCTGGGCCTCTGTGTGGAGCAACCTCACACGAAGGGCTGTGCAGTGGGGCAGCCTGGTGTGGGCTCAGGGTAGTGGCCACCCTGGATCTGTGGCAGCCAGGGACAGCTGGGTTGGCCACCCTGGACCCTGCCATGTAGCCCCTTTTCAAAGGTGGTAAGGGCTCTTCCTTTCCTTTTGGAGGGAGAGCTTTCTCCAGGCCCCACCCTCCACGTCAGAGATGGCTGCGGCACTCGCGACCATCCGGACCCTTCCCAGGGACAGAAATGCCATCAGTGTACAGATAGAGCACAACAAGGGATGTCCTCGTTAGCGCTCAGGGCTTCCTGTGTCTAGACAGTGGGCCAGGCTGGATCTGTTCACTCGTCTAAGAATCATCTTTCATTGACATCTTTCATCTGTTCATGCTAACACACATGAGCTAAGAACATGCAAGGATAGAAACATTCATACTTAACCTATTAGCAGACACCCACCCCCCACACCGACTGCGGCAGTCACCCAGGGATGACATCGGAAGTCTAAGCTGGAGGTCTTCACTCATATTAGCCCCACGTCAAATTTCTCTCTGGCTCTACCCTGACGTGCAAAGTGAGATTGTTACTCAGTGAGTAGTGATGGTCTCATCCCTGGAGTTATGCAAGGTGAGTGAAAGCCACTGAAGGGAATCCCTGCACGGACCTGAGGCTGTTTGGACAATGGGAACCACAGAACCTCTCCAGCACCAAAGACCTCTGGTTCTGAGACCGGGCACAGAGAGGAGCTTCCTGCTGAGTCTGACTCTGCTGTGAGCCGAGGCAGAGCCGAGGAGACACCTGGCCAGGACAGCATCCGCACAACAGCATGGAGTTGGATGCAGTGAATTGAAAACTCAATCCAAGGTCAAGGGATGCCTTCCACTTGGGACACTGAGCCAATGGCTTTGCTTCCCTCAGCCTCAGTTTCCTCTTCTGAAAAATGGGAGTGAGAATTCCTGCGTTTGCAGGGCTTTGGATGGGATAGTGGATGTGCAGAGCCCAGCTGGGCCCAGCACACAGTTGGCACTTACTGTATCTGCGGCAAAAGAGGAATGAGGCATCGCTTAAACAACTGGAGACTCATGGGGACTCCATAGAACTGCATTTAAATAACAGTGGAGGCCTGCGCCGCGGCTCACTAGGCTAATCCTCCACCTTCAGGCACCGGCACACCAGGTTCTAGTCCTGGTCGGGGCGCCGGATTCTGTCCCAGTTGCCCCTCTTCCAGGCCAGCTCTCTGCTGTGGCCAGGGAGTGCAGTGGAGGATGGCCCAAGTACTTGGGCCCTGCACCCCATGGGAGACCAGGAGAAGCACCTGGCTCCTGCCTTCGGATCAGCGCAGTGTGCCAGCAGCAGCACGCCAGCCGCAGCGGCCATTGGAGGGTGAACCAACGGCAAAGGAAGACCTTTCTCTCTGTCTGTCTCTCTCACTGTCCACTCTGCCTGTCAAAAAATAAAAATAAAAATAAAATAAAATAAAATAAAATAAAAAAAAATAAATGACAGTGGATTAGCTGTCATTTGCCAGACACTGTGCTATAATGAGCATGACATGGACAGCTGGCAGAACTTCCTCTGAGATATATGGTTACAACCTCACAGTATGGGGAGTGAAGTCAGTCATATTGGCCTCGGCCACTTGGCCACTCCTTGGCACATCTGCAATTGAAAACTGAGGGTCTCATTCCAAAATCCATGCTCCTAACCTTTCCATACTTATCAGTGTAGAGTTAGGGGAGTGTCAGATGTCACTTCACTATCTTTCTTTCATTAAGTAAACAACAGGAGCAGGTGTGTGGCTTGGAACGCCCCTGCCCCTATCCCACTATCAGAGTACACAGCTCACCCTCTGATTCTAGTTTCCTGCTAACGCGCAGCCTGGGAGGCAGTAGGGATGGCTCAAATATTTGGGCTGCTGAAACCCACATGGGAAACCCAGTTTGAGTCCCAGGCTCCTTGCTTTGGCCTGGCCCAGCCCAGGTTACTGTGGGCATTTCAGGAGTGAGCCAACAGATGAGAGATCTGTCTCTATGTCTCTCTGCCTTTCAGACAAATAAAAATAAATACATCTTTAAAAACAGCCCTCACAACAATGAAGGCAACAACTACAAAACCAAGCTCTACATCCACCCCTCTAGTGCCACAAGCACATGGCATTGACCCTGACTTTCCTGCCACGAAATCCCTTGCAGAGAGCCCCGGGTCAGGGTCCTGAGTTGGAAGATGATTATTAGAGAGAGCCGTGTGAGCACCCGCTGCCCTCCATGCCCTGGACTGCACAACTGGGGAGACAGAGACTTGCGGATTGACTGTGTGCACCACCTGCAAGCTGGGGGCACAGCCTTGGGGCTCCTGTCTGGGAGGGCACCTGTTCTTCCTCCCCACTCTTCCGACCCCTCTGCTTCCTGCTGCTCCTTCCTCTTGCCCCAGCCCCCTCTGAGTTTTGCCTCTTGGCGGTTCTGTGCATCCCCAAGTCTCTTTCTGATTGGATCACCGTCCTGATGGCCGCCGAGGCACCCTCTGGTGCACTCACTTGTCCCTGGCCATGAGAAAGTCCGTTAATTCGAGGTGTCTCTGTCGCTGGCCCCCACCGGCACTGGGCCCATCCGTGTTTGGCTTTTGCATTGTGTGCTTCCTAATTCCATTTCTGGGGCTTAATTATGATTACACAGCTTTATTATGTAGAGTTGATTTTAAGTAATGGCCCTAATTAAGAGTGAATTTTAATTAAGCTTAATTCAGAGCCTGCCTTTGATTGCCAAAGATTTGCAGCCTGAGAAGAGACAAGGCTGCCCGTGCTCGGAGCTCACACGTGACTTCGATCCCGGCGCTTCCGAGCCCACTCAGCCAGATGGTTTTGCTCGATTTTTCCAGCCTCAGGAGTGCACTTCTTCACCAGGCTGCGGGGACGGTGGACTGCGCCTCCTCTTCTCTTCCACCCGGAGGCAAACTCAGAGCCCTGGCAATGAGAAAACACAAGTCAACTGCCCTGCAGGTGCGCAGCCTACATCTTGGGGATGAGCATCAGCCGCGTCGCCCTCTGTCTTAGAAGGGAAGCTTGCAGGCTGTCCGCCCCCGTTCATCACACCCATTGCACACGGGAGAGACCACCGCATCAGGAAGCTGGGGCACACAGCCAGTGAGGGCAATGGGAGGCCTGGAAATCAGCTCCAACCCCAATGCCCGTGCCGCACCTGTGTCAGCACAGCCTCTCAGGAGTCAACCATCCCACCCGCCCGGATTGGGAGAGACCCATCTCCCTAGGCCAGGGCATCCCCAGCTCCAGCATTTATACACGGTGCCGGTGAGTTTTGCCACAGCCACAAACACTATCATTTGTTTAATAGTGGGGAAAAAGTCTTACCCAGATTTGTTTCTCAAATGAAAATTATATCCTACCTTTAAAACTGTCACAAAGCAAAAACTTCCATAAAAATTTTATTTATTTATTTATTTATTTTTTGACAGGCAGAGTAGACAGTGAGAGAGAGAGAGACAGAGAGAAAGGTCTTCCTTTGCCGTTGGTTCACCCTCCAATGGCCGCTGCGGCTGGCGTGCTGCTGCTGGCACACTGCGCTGATCCGAAGGCAGGAGCCAGGTACTTCTCCCGGTCTCCCATGGGGTGCAGGGCCCAAGTACTTGGGCCATCCTCCACTGCACTCCCTGGCCACAGCAGAGAGCTGGCCTGGAAGAGGGGCAACCGGGACAGAATCCGGTGCCCCGACTGGGACTAGAACCCGGTGTGCCAGCGCTGCAAGGCGGAGGATTAGCCTAGTGAGCCGCGGCGCTGGCCTCATAAACATTTTAAACAAAGAAGTAAACTGGTAGTATATTAGATCTGAGCCAGAAATGATTCCTTTTTTAAGTGTCCGAGACTAAGGCCTGTATAAGCTACTGGCCTAACTTTATTGAACAGAGATGAGAAAAACGTTAAAGACATACGAACAACAAAGTGAGACTCAACACAAGGAACCTCAAGAAGTTGCTGTAAAATGAAATGAAAAGCTAAGTTTATTTTGGTGGAAGTTTTTTTTTTTTAAATCCATGCATAGTTTTTTTTCTAGTGTACATTTCCATGAAGTTTTTGATGTGTCCCTTGAATAATCAGAAAGTCTGAAAGAATTGGGAAGCTAATGTTTATGTCACCTTGGGATACAGGGTCATTTACACTCCCTTCCAAGTACCATCTAAAATCTACTCTCCTTTATCCAACCCTTCGAGATACACGGAGCTAAGCTAAGTGAGCACAGGGTTCCAGGTCCTATCTCTGAGTCCTGCTGCCTCTCAGCTGCCCAGTGATTAACAAAATTCTGGACAGCAAGCCAGCTCCCTTGGGCCCAGCCCCAGAGCCAAGGACAAGATGTGGCCCTTCCTTTAGTGTTTCCAGGGAAAACACAGTGAAATGAATATGCTGTCCAGGGCTGGCCGGCAGTCTGTTCATCACCAGAGGGTGGGCCTGACCATCCCTGGTCTGAAAGTCATTGCCACCCCGATCTGTTCTGTGATACTCAAGTCCCCATCATAGGAAATCATGCAGCAAAAGCTCAGCTCTGCAAACATTTTGACTTTTTCTACAGGGAAATGGAAAGTGAAAAATGCGATTCAATTACCTTGAAAATAAAAGGGGCAATTTCGCTCACAAATGGTGCACTTAAAAGCTCAGTTTGAAAACAGACATTCAAAGAAGTCCAGGCTAAGTTAAAAGGAAAAAGAGAAAAGCAAAAGAGCTCATGCATTAATCCCCTTCCATCCACCCCTTCCGACTGCATGAATCTTCTGTAGACTTGAAACACAACTAAAGAAGCATTCTATGACTTTAATTATCCAAGTCACGTAACTTTTCCATTAAACGTTGAACATTTAGAAGACTGATCCACTTAACCTGACCAGTCCAATGATGTAGACAACACTGTGGACTGGGCCACTCCTCCAGGATTGAAGCAGGACTCTCTCTCTCTCTCTCCCTTTCTCTCTCTCCCTTTCCCTTTCTCTCTCTCCCTTTCCCTTTCTCTCTCTCTCTTTCCCCAGGGGTGTTGGGGGGAAGTCACCAGCAGAGCCGCCAGCTGAGTCAAAGACCCCTAACTGTACCTGCCCAATATGAGGGTACTTAAAGTTTATGGAAAAATGGAATTCAAAGATAAATTCATTGTGTGCAAAAAATTTTTGAAATCACATAGATGAGAGGTCTTCAAAATGCATATAAAAAAACGGGATTTCAAAAATGTTTTTGCATCAAAGTACACTTAACTTTGAATTCTATTTTCCATAAACTTTTTGAATCGTCCTTGCATATTTGCACGTTTTACACCTAGGAAACTCACTAGAAGAGAAGAGGACACAGCTACTGAAACAGGAAAGCGTCACGGAGACTCAGTAATGCCGAACAATACAGCACACGTGATTATCTCAGTATAACCACTACTCATTCAATCTTGCTTTCTACATTTATTCCTGCAGGCAAGGCAAGGTGTAGAAGCGGTTTTGTGACGCCTACCAGTAGTTTCCCAAGGCACACTTAGTATAGTTCCTCTCGCCACACACAACTACAGCCAGTCTGCCCTGGGTCTGAATTCCTGTTCTGCGCATTACCAGCTGTAGAACCTTGGCCCTCAGTTTCCCGGTCTGTAAAATGGGAGTATCAGTAGCACCTACCTCGTAGGCTTGTTGAGAGGGTTAAATGAGATATTGCTTAGCACAAAACATGGCCCATAGTAGGCGCTCAGTGAACAGTCAGGGGTTAATATTAACTCTGGCTCAAGCTCGTGCCATGGTTCACCTCAGTACCTCCTGACTTGCCTGTTGGGAAAAGATGCTCCTATGCTCAGACGTAGTTGGAAGACCCGCAGGAAGCTGGTGAGAGACTCAACTCTACTTTAAGCCTCGAAGATACTTTTCTGTCCTCTTTCCAGTTTTCTGCCCAAGAACTCTGGCCAGAGCTGCAGCAGGTGCTGGTGGCTTTCCTGTGGACCTGGCTGGAGGGGAAGCGGTCAGTTGGAGCACGCCCAAGAAGTGTGTGTTCACACCAGCTCTCTCTTGAAAATCATTCTGATCATGGATCCAGAAAAAGTCCTTGCAGGCTTCGTGTGCATGTGCCCAAAACTGCACATACATTTGCATTTCTCCTTATCTACGCACGTCTCCTGCACATCCAGGCAAACCCCAACCCTGGCAGAGAGCATCTCGAACCTGTGACAGTCCAGTCCTACAGTAAAATGTGCTCTTTCTCCATGAGTGAAGCTTGATGTGCCTCAGCCTGGGGATTTATACCAAGCAATAAAATCCACAGAATAGAGAAATGCAAATAGATTGTAGAATATAATATTATCATTGTCAACATAAAAGACTTTTATTTACTGCTCCCCAAAAGAAAATACCCCATAGTGTCATTTGTTTCAGGGAATGCAAAAGAGGTTTCAACAACTAACAGGGCATGTTTCTGAGCAAAATATGCCCCATATATGATGTCGGAACACATATCGTCAGTGGCCGCTTGTGTGTCTGGGTTCTTGCAAACAAGCCCGTGGAATCAAGTCATGGAAGGTCACTTCCCGCCTGCCTCTCTGAGCCACAGGCCGACTACCTCCATCTGTGTACAAACAAACCAAGCAACCTAGACTGAGTGTGAGGGAGTGCTCCTCCAAGGCAGGACACCGTAGATTACGCATCCCAGGAGCAGGTGTCTGAGTGGAGGCCTGCCGGGCCCATGGAAGATGCACGGTGGAGGCAGAGCGCATGCAGGTCTGAACCACCCTGGGCAAAGCGACGTTGGAAGGAGGAGACAGAGCAAGAGTGGAAGGCAGTGACCCCCATCATTCCCTAAGGATAGGTCCTCACAACACCACAGCCCGCAAATGGTCAAGGTCATTCCACCAGCTGTTTTGTTGCACAGGATGTCGATGTCTCATGAGACCAGTGGCAGATGTAGATTCGGTTGACTATGCCTGTCCTTATATTCAGGGTTTGGGTGTCGTGTTAGACCTAATCAAAACTATCATCTTATTTCTGTAGGAGATAGCAGGATCTAAACATATAAGGCTTTAAGCAGCAATAATGACCTGAATGAGATTCTAGGTTAAAATGTTATGTTCTCTTTGGTTCTACCAGTGGCCCTGAGAAATAAACAGGTACAGCCGCTCCTCGGTTTTCGTGGGGTATTGACTACAGAACCCCTGTGGATATCAAACTCCCGAGGTGCCCAGGTTCCTTCTATAAAAATGGTGTAGTGTTTCCTGTAGCCCAGACAATACTCCTGTGCGCTTCACATCATCTCTACCTTAGTTGCAATGCCCAATACAGTGTGAACACCGAGTAAATGGTTGTTACATCGTTTATGGAATAACGACAAGGAAAAGAAGTCTGTGGGAACTCAGTGCAGGAGTCATTTTTGTTTCAAACCCTTTCAATGCACAGATGCAGAACCTGTAGGCTTTGGACTATTTCTTGTAGCTAATTTACAGATGGGAAAACAAAGGCTTGGGAGAAGGGCTGTGCACCATCCACAGCCAGCCAGATTGCAGGAGGGAGTGGGAATGCATGTGGGTCCCTCTGGCTGCAGAGGCCCCGTTTCCCGACCTGGGCATACCCCAGGGAGGCCCCGCTGTGGCTGCGTCCCTCAGTCCTCACGGGTCCTTTTGTTCCCACCTTGCAGAAGAGGCAACCAGTGCCAGCGAGCAGCAGAGCATTTGCCAGTCACGCAGACACATGCAGCCTGGCTGGATCCCCAGCCCCTGGATTCCCAGTGCACTGGGGCCTGGGAGAGCGCAACGAGACGCCCTGAGCAGTTCGCTGCACCCCACACTGTTCCCTCTTGGTGGCTAGATTGCGAGTCTCAGCAACCAGATGGAGGACCTCATTTTGCATCCACAAACCCCTGTTTTTCCCCTTGCAGCTCTTTTGGACAGGGGAGATGGCCCTGAGAGGAGCTGTGGGAGAAGCCTCCGTGGGAGACCGGAAGGGTCAAGATAATTGCTGTGCTTCAAGGAGGAAGAGAGGAAACGCCACCCAGGCGAGGAAGTTGGGTTCTCTGCTCCCCAGGACGACCCACCCAGTCCAGAAGCCCCTTCAACTCCCACTGTATACTGTCACTTTGCCTTCTCTGGGCCTCACCATCCTAGAGGGAGCCCAGGGTGCTGGGTGCAACTGTGGAGGCAACAGACATTGGCAATCAGTGAAGTTGGTGACAACTGCATCACAGGCTAGGCATGCAGAGGGAGTAACAGAGGCCCATGCCCTGGCCTCTGGGGCTAGAATCAGGCCAATGCGCTTCCAGGCCGTGCAAGGAAACAATGGGCACCATTGTGTGCAGAGCCCAGGGAAGGAAGCTGAGAGCTGACTGCAGGAATGGAGCTGGCCCTGGAAGACCTTGGGGCCACAGTCCAGGCGGGAGGACACGGAGCCCTGGAGAGTCGTGCACATCAGAGTTTCCGTGATGACACAAAGGTCACAGGATCCCCAGACTCTAATTTCAGTCAACAATGTATCACAGCCACCTGGAAGCAGCCTTCGCCACACCCAGCACACCCAAGACTGCCATTTGTTTGACCAACAGAGAAAAGATGATTCCAAAACACACGTGGTGGAAAGAGCCCCGGGGAGGGTGTGCTGTCCGGTTTCTCCTGCAGACCGAGCTCCCCTTGGGGGACTGGGTACGTCTCACAGGACGGCACCTGCTGCAAGGGCTTGGCCACTGGAGTGTGCAGCCACAGAGCACACAGTTTCCTTGCGAGCATTCTTCATGAAAAGGGTGCCGGGGCGGAAAAGGAGGTTCGCATCAGCTTTGAATTTATGCTGTTGATGACTCTACCGTGATCATGTAAGATGACATCTCCAGCTCAGGCGATTCACAGCATTGGGGGCCAAAGGACGTGACCTATGAAGCTTCTTCATGTGGTTCAGGAAAACAAGAGTGTGTGTGTGTGCGTGCGTGTGCGTGCATGTGTGCACATGGAGAGAGAGAGAGGGAATCGGGCAAAAATGTTAGGCAGTAAATTAAGCTAAAGGGCATACTACTTCCCTGTAAGTTTGAATTCATTTCCAAATACAAACTTAAAGAAGAGGAAGAGACAGAATGGCCAGATGCCGTGCAGTGAGCGCCTGATGCTCCCCGAGCCCTGCTGCAGAGATGGGTTTGCCCCTTTCCCGTGCCCTCCTCGGAAAGTCCCGTTACTGACGCATCCCTCCCGCTCGCGCATCCAGTGTTCACACGCGGACGCCCTCGACAACGCTCCACCCTTCTGCTCTCCGGGGCACTGAGCCTGAATGGCTCTCCCTCGGTGCCCGCTGAGAGCCCGGTGCTCGCTGGATCTGCTGCATGACAGGGAGTGAAGGGTGTGTGGAGCCGCAACGGGGCCGAGGTCAGAGGTGTCGGGAGACAGGAAGAGAGGCGCAGACCCTACCAACCACCTTCACCCTCAAGGCGCGACCCGGCGCCCACCCGGCTGAGGGGCGGGCGCTCCATCTTCTTCCCGTCCTCGTTTCCTCTGAAAGGGAAAACTCAGCCTTAAAAAAAGTGACTGGCAAGTGGGCTCCGCGGATGACTGGGTCCACTGTCGCCCAGTGCTTCTCTTTTGTGTTAACCTTGCTAGTTGTAGAAAAACAAAAGGAAACATGAAGAATACCCTTATGTCTCTAGAGTAATAAAGCATACGGAGAAGAGCTAACATTAAGGAAAATATTTTTCCCTGTAAAGAAGCAGACTGAAAATTTGCAATCTTGCTCATTTATCAAGGACATGGAATAAAGTGAGTAACCATTTTGTGTAAATAAATGAACAAAAATTATCGCTAAGGCAAAGCTGCAGCGAGGCGGCACTGCATTCTTTCAGCACTTGTAGCAATAAATAACTAAGAGTTATGGGAAGACAATGCGGATGCTTTAGGAGCTATAAAAATGCTCATACTCTATTTTAAAAGATTTATTTATTATTTGAAAGGCAGAGTTAGAGAGAGAGAGAGCGAGCGAGCTTCCATAGCTGGTTCACTCCCCAAGTGGTCATAATGGTCATGGCTGGACCAGGCTGAGGCCAGGATCCAGGAGCTTTATCCAGGTCTCCCACGTGAGTGCAGGGGCCCAAGCACTCGGGCCATCTTCTGCTGCTTTTTCCAGGTGCATTAGCAGGGAACTGGATCGGAAGTGGGGCAGCCGGGACTTGAACCAGCGCCTATATGGGACACCAGTGTTGCAGGTGGCAGCTTAACCTGCTGCGCTACAGCACCGGCCCCATTTTCATACCCTTTAGTATGGTAGTAATATTTATCAGAATTAACACAACTGATAAATCTGAAAAAAAAACAAATTATTAAATACATAAAATTACACATTACTGTTATTTGTAGTATTTTTTAAAACTCTGAGAAATAATTTAACTGTCTGAAAATAAGAACAAGTCAAGTAAAATGTGGTATAGACAGCTGATGGATAACAATGATGAAGAGTACGCTTGCTATGGATTGAATTGTGTGCAAAATCCACGTGTCAAAGCCCTACCCCAGATGTGGCTGTATTTGGAGTAAGGAAGCAATGGAAGTCCATGTGGCCTTAGTGGTGGAGCCCTGATCCCATGGCATCAGCGTCCTTTGAGGAACAACCTTGGGGAGGACCCAGTGAAAAGGCAGGCCACTGCACCGCTCACCGGAGACCAGCCGGGCCAGCCTTGTGTGCTCACTCTTCCCAGGAGGTCCATTTCTGTTGTTTAGGGCACCCTGCTTTATGTGGTATGCTGCAACAGTAAGAAATGGGAATTCCTACTGCAAGGCTGGTCCAGGTTTCCTGACCTGCAATCCCGTGCTCTCTCCACAGGGTCGTCGGTACAGAGACGGAATGCCTCACCAGTGATAAGAACATGGATATTCCCCGTCGGTTTCTGAGTGTTGTGGAGTGTTAGGTGGCAGGCAGCGTGGTAAGCACTGTGTGTAAGCTGTCTCACCTGTGGGTCCCCAGCGCCCGTAGAGGTAGCGACTGTTACTATTATTATTTTAGAAGCACTGAAACCTGAACACAGAGAGGGAGCTAATTGGCCCCAAGTCACTGGGCAAAGAGACAACGAAGCCCAGGTTTAATTGGAATTTGTCTGAGTCCAACCCCCAAACCCTTCAATTCTGTAAACACACGGTATTCGAAGTGAGTGAGCAGTTCGCTTTCCTAGTAGAAGAATAACGTTAGTACCACCTGCCACACCAGCCTGGTTCTCCCTCAGATGCCCGCCTGATCCCCCAGTCTCTATGCCATGTCCCCAGTGCCACGCCCGGTGCTACAACAATCATTTTTATTTTCTAGAGAAATCTCTTGAGCAAGGCACCGGTAACCACAGTGTGTCTGGGGACATTAGTTGGCTTTGGAAATCATACGCTATGCACTAGGCTGCTCCAGCCATTGCAGCCAGCTGGGGAATGAACCAGTGGATTTGGATCGTACTATATGTCTTCTTTCCCTGAAAATGTCTCGTTTTGTCTCATGTTTGAGCAAATAATCTCCTCTATGTACAATATATCCCTCTAGCTTGTTCTTGTCAAACTCTTTTCTGCTCTTTATGTCCCAACCTGGATATCACTTCCTCCAGGAAGTCCTTCCTGATCCTAAGCTGGAAGAGGTAGCCCTGCTACGGGCTCTCCAGGCACCAAGGTGATGCCCTTGTTAGGATCCTCCTCAACCCCTTTGTAAAGGGCCAGCTCTCCTCCTTGGCAGACACTTTTCAGTCCCATGCATCCTATGAAGCAGGGGCTGTGTCTTATCCACCACTTCCTGTCCCGCGCCCACTGCAGAACGATGCCTTGGGGAACACTGCTTTTGTGGATGAGCAAAGGAAGGGGTTCCAAAGAGTGATCCTCAGGTCCACGTTGGGGGACGAGGGCTTTGAGTTAAGCTCATGATCGCGCAAGGTGAAATGCACTCTAGAAAACCACCCGGTTGCAAATCCCAGACCTGCAACCCTCGAGCCTGAAGCAAGTGACCCAACCTCTCTGTGCCTCCGCCGCCCCTGCTCCCGGGTGGATCAAGCCAGCTGGATACTTGCAGTTCTCAGCCCTGTTCCCGACCACGGTGGGCACTGGGTAAGTGATGAATAGGACTTGTTATGTGGTCATCATGAAGATCACGATTTGAGTCATATTTAAGAGTAAAACAATCAAGTGTAGCTGTCCGGCCGGCGGCTGCCATGGAAACCTGGCTACACACCTGAAGTGTAACTGCATCTTCTGCCAGATAGTGGATGCGTTGCCGCCTCTGGGGGTCCTCAAGTACAGTCTCTCTCTACAAACAAGGTTTCTCGTTCCTTTGTCAAGATTAAACCTGGTTAGGGAAAAACAGCACACACCATTTCAAATGCCTGCTCCCCTGGCCCCCTGAGAGATCAGACAGGTGTGTTCTGCTACATCTGGCCGGGAACCTTGAATCAGGAGAGGTAATTCTGCAGTCCTGAAAATGTTCTTTTGCAAGTGTGTTCACCTGCAGAAGAGGCTGGAACACGGGCGTGGCATAGTTGGTTGGGCTGCTTGCAATGCCGGCGTCCTATACTGGAGTGCGGGTTCAAGTCTTAGAGTGGCTACTCTGCTTTTGGTCCAGCTTCTTTGCTAATGCTCCCTCTTTAGAACCAGCTCCCTGCCAATGCGCCCGGGAAGGGCAGTGGAACATAGTCCAAATATTTGGGTCCCTGCACCCATGTGGGAGATGTGGCTGCTGACTTCAGCTGGCCCAGCCCTGGCTTTTGGGGCCACATAGGGAGTGATCCAGCAGATGGAACCCCCCCTACCCCTCTGTCAACTCTGCCTTTCAAATAAATAGGCAGGCGCCGTGGCTCACTTGCTCACTTGGTTAATCCTCTGCCTGTGGCACCGGCATCCAATATGGGTGCCGGGTTCTAGTCCCGGTTGCTTCTCTTCTAGCCCAGCTCTCTGCTGTGGCCTGGGAGGGCAGTGGAGGATGGCTCAAGTGCTTGGGCCCCTGCACCCGCATGGGAGACCAGGGGGAAGCACCTGGCTCCTGGCTTCAGAATGGTGCAGCGCCAGCCGTAAAGGCCATTTGGGGAATGAGCCAACGGAAGGAAGACCTTTCTCTCTGTCTCTCTCTTTCTCACTGTCTATAACTCTACATGTCAAATTAAATAAATAAATAAAATAAGAAAAAATAAGAGAAGGAGAAGGAAGGGGAGGGCTTCCCCAGCTGCATTTGGTCCTGTACGTGAACAGTGCCAGTGGAGATGCCCCGGAAGGAGACCCGGCCCAGTGGAGTGGTCAGGCCAGTACACAACTGGTGACAGCGGCCTCACAATTTACAAATTGTGCTACCTATTCGGGACATGCTCAAGCTGACTTACCTCAAACGGTAGAGTTAGAAACATACCAGGGGATTCCAATTCAATCCCATCAAGGTGGCATTGTACCAATGCCATCTCACTAGTCCCAGTGATCAATTTCTGTTCACAATTGATCATAATGATAGGACTAAGAACCAAAGGGATCACATAAACAAAAATAGTGTCTGCAAATACTAGCTGATAGAATAAAAAAGGTAGAGAATGATCCAACATGGGAAGTGAGATACACAGCAGACCCATAGAATGGCAGATGTCCTAAACAGCACTCTGGCCTCAGAATCAGCCCTTAAGGCATGCGGATCCGGCTTAAAAGCCCATGAGACTATTTCAGGCATGGAAAGCCAAGACACTCTGGGGGAAAAAAAAAACCTAAATGAAAGATCTCTGCGAGTGAGATCCCAGTGGAAAGAATGGGTCATCAAAGAAGGAGGTACATTTCTCTGAAGGGAGGAGAGAACTTCCACTTTGACCATGGCCTTGTCTAAATATGATCAGAGTCAGTGAACTCAGGGGGCTTCCATAGCCTTGGCAGCTCATGACAAGAGCCTAGGGTGATTACTGAGGCCATAAACAAGAGTGTCAATTTGTTAAGTCAACAACAGGAGTCAATGTGCACTTACTCCTCATGTAGGATCTTTGTCCTTAGTGTGCTGTACATTGAGATTTAATGCTATAACTAGTACTCAAACAGTATTTTTCACTTTATGTTTCTGTGTGGCAGCAAACTGTTGAAATCTTTACTTAATGTATGCTAAACTGATCTTCTGTATATAAAGAGAATTGAAAATGAATCTTGATGTGAATGGAAGGGGAGAGGGAGTGGGAAAGGGGAGGGTTGCAGGTGGGAGGGACGTTATGGGGGGGAAGCCATTGTAATCCATAAGCTGTACTTTGGAAATTTATATTCATTAAATAAAAGTTTGAAAGCAAAAAAAAAAATTTTGTGCTACCTTAGGCAAGTTCTTTTACCCTTCTATGCCTCAGTTTCTTTATTTGTGAAACTGGGCCAACAGTAATGTCTGCTTCAGAAGGTTTCATAAGAAGATGAAATGAGTATTTTTAGAAATGCATAGAAGGATACCTCACACTGTTAAGTAAAATAAATATTAGGACTTTGAGGCCAACTCAAACAAAAGAGAAAATTATAGATTGTAACTTCAGAGCCTGGGGGACCATGGATGTGTATATTTATTTCTGCACTTTTGTTTCAAAGGCAGGAGGGCAGAAAGAATATTCTTTATGTTCTGCCTGTGTAGTGGCAATTCCTATGGGGGAGAAATCGATGCGAATTTGATAAGCAGTTTGCAACCCTCTCTGGTGAATCCCTAAGATTGATTCCACTAAGATCCTTCACTTTCAAATCCTCTATAAAGAAAACAAAGTAAACACAGGCTTTTCTCTAAAGTAGGAGCTGAAATTTCATTATTTCCAGCAATAAGAATGCTTTTTTAAATAGGTAGACCAATTACCTTTGAGTCGAAAATATTTTATAAGGGGTTGTTCACATATAAACTATGATGGTGGTTCTTAGACTAATAGCCAGCAAGAGATACCACACCTTCACATGGTGCTTTCAAGATCTCAAAATGTATTTGCATATATATGTTTTTAAGAAATGTATTTACCTGAATGTCGGGGTTACAGAGGCAGACAGACAGACAGACAGACACACACACACAGAGTGATCTTCCATCCCCTGTTTTCACTCCCTAAGTGGCCACAACAGCCAGGGCCGAGCCAGGCCAAATCCAGGAGCCAGGAACTCAGAACTCTTTCTGGGTCTCCCAAACACCTGGGTCATCTTCTGCTGCGTTTCCCAGGCCATTAGTAGGGAGTCGGATCAGAAGTGGAGCAGCCACTTCAAGAACTGGTGCCCATGTGGGATGCCCATGTGGGATGCCAGCATTGCAGGCGGTGGCTTTACTTGCTACGCCACCGCTCCAGCCCCTGTTTGCACATCTTAGCTGCCTTTTCCATAGGCTCCATTCCTCACGTAGTACAGGCTAAGGAGCATGTGGCTCAGAGTAGGTGGCTTATCCCACTGTGTAGGAGCAGAGAGTTCATGTCTTTGGGCCTCATTTTCTCTATCTATAAGTTGAGGGTAACACTCTGTATCTTGTGGTACATTGCAAGCATTGAGTGAGTTAACCACATAAAGCCCTAGGAGGGTGACTGTATTATTGTGTGCCTCACGGTATAGGTTTCTGAAGGTTATATTATGATAAAGTCAAGTTCAACAAGAGTGTCCTGGAAATGTCCCAGCTCCAGGCATTATTTATTTATTTATTTTTTGATGGCCAGAGTGGACAGTGAGAGAGAGAGACAGAGAGAAAGGTCCTCCTTTGCCGTTGGTTCACCCTCCAATGGCCACCGGGGCCAGCACGCTGCGGCCGGCGCACCGCACTGATCCGATGGCAGGAGCCAGGTACTTATCCTGGTCTCCCATGGGGTACAGGGCCCAAGCACTTGGGCCATCCTCCACTGCACTTCCCTGGCCACAGCAGAGAGCTGGCCTGGAAGAGGGGCAACCGGGACAGAATCCGGCTCCCCGACCGGGACTAGAACCCGGTGTGCTGGCGCCGGAAGGCGGAGGATTAGCCTAGTGAGCCGCGGTGCCGGCCTCCAGGCATTATTTTAAGTAGGATTCCTACATTAAGGAATGATTACTAAATTCCCGCATATGATGATGGTAATAGAATTCTCTCTTTAAAAGGGATCCTTCCAGGGGCT